TTTAGAGTGCACACTCATCATTGTTCTACAGGCAGGGGTCATAGGAGACAGACTGAATATAGGTCAGATGAGGAACAAAATCCCCCCTGGCACCAGCCATCTCTCTCTCTCTCTCTCTTTTCTCTGTCTTTTTCTCTCGTTCGGATATTTTCCTTCCATTCCCATCGTTTCGCCGCTTGGAAGGGAAATTGGGGATCCATGACTCCTCAACAGCTGCAGCAAACTGGACCGCGTGGAAACCTCCCCCAGACTCTCAGCTTCGGCTCGCGGCTCCGCCAAGACATCCCCGCTGCTGATTGGCCAGCTCTCTGATGCCTCTGCTGCATTGCTGCAGTGTGGGCCAGCCTGAGAGGCAGCAAGTGTGTCAGTGTGTCAGCGCACACCGCCAGGCAGAGGGCGAAAGGACCCGAGGCCGGTCTCCATAGCAACAGGCCCTGTGCACAAAAAGATAGCGACCCCCTTCCCTGCATCTCAGTTCCCTCCTCTGTCCCCTGAAGCAGCTGTGGGTGTCTCCTGTGGCCATTGTGTGTGTGTGTGAGGCATGTTGTCGTCATAAATCAGAACAAATTTCATCACACCAGCCAAAATATGTGAGAGAGATGCTCAGTCAGAGAGCTCTCTCCATGTGGGTCTGATTTTTATTTATTTGTTTCTCCAACAACAGAGGAGAGATTCCCAGAGAATGCTGAGGTGTGGCCCCAGCGCACACACACACACACACACACACACACACACACACACACACACACACACACACACACACACACACACACACACACACACACACACACACGAATGCAAGACGCTCTTTGAACATTTCTGCTCCTGCCTCTGATTTGCTTACATGTCACCCTGGTGATTCAAATCCTCGGGTTCAGTTAGCGGTAAAGTTGCGTGTCCTCCAATGCAAAAGAAGCTGAGTCATGATTTCCATCCACTCACGTCTCACGGTCGAGACTCTTTCATTTACCTCCTGCAGAAAGACGCTTTGACTTCAGAGCCACAAAGCAAACCCAGGCTCATTCGTCTGGAAAGACTGTAAAGGCAGATGAAGATCTGAGTCAATTCCTCAGAGATAATCTGACAGATTATACTTTTTTTTTTTTTTGTCCTGGGAAACCAAAATATTGCACACAAAACAGAGTCGAATGATCCTGAAGTCACCTTTGCAACACGGCCTTTGGTCATTTCATGTTTGTGTTCAAGTTGAAGCCAAGTGTTCACTGCAAAAACACAAAGTATTACCAAATACTGTTAGTCTATAGTTTCTATTGAAGGAATAACATGAAACTGACTTACAAGTAACTTTTCAGCAAGATAAGCACTTGTTTAAAGTCAATAATTATTTAATATCGATTTGTATTTTTTTAATGATTATTGTTTGAAATATTTTTTCACTCATAACACCAGAAGCCTGTCTTAGAAGTTGTAAAAGACTTGAGAAGGTCCACTTCACAGGAGAACAGTCAGGCCTAAAAATGCAGCTCAGTCTACAAGGAAATTGCTTTAGTCAGATGATGTGTGGAAATGGCCTAGTCAAAGCCCAGACTTTGACCCGAAAGGGCCTCCGAGGCAAATGTCGAACATTCCCGACGCAGCAGAGGCTCTGCTTTCAGCATGAATTGTTGGAAGTGTTACTATATCAGATCCGTCTGGATCTGTTCAACCGAAAGAAATGAAAGAAAATCCAGAGGCGTGGACCCCAAGTCGCTCTTTTTCTCTCTCTGTCTTCTTCGGGCTTTTAAATCTTTACAAACGGGCTTTCAGGATCCATGTTTCCCAATAACACGTCCGAGCATCTCAGGTGATTTCATTAGCGCGGCGCAGCGGGGAGGCGAAAATGCGCCCAGATTGAATTTGTCTGAAGACGTTTGTTTTCCTCGCGAGGATCGGATTCACCCAGAGACATCAACCTTCCCCACCAGCTTCCTTTTTTATTTTATCTTTTTACTGCCGCTTCCACACAGAGCGGATGATTGTTGTTATTTAAAAAAAATAAAAAAAATAAAAACTCAGTAATCGTGTCCTGTGGAACGAAGTGATGCTGCTTGTTGGACATGAACCGATATGTGTTTGGGCGGAAACAAATCTCCCATCGATTTGCATCGCGATGCCGCAGAGCACGTTTCTCCGTGTTGCTCCCATGTTATGCCTCACTTCGCCAAGACAACGGCGGCAACGAGGCCGCGCAGCATTTCTGTCCGCGCAGAGCGAGAGCGTGCCGCCGATGTTGACATGCGCCCCGGCACTTTGCGCGCCTCGGTATCTGTGTGTGTGTGTGTGTGTGTGTGTGTGTGTGTGTGTGTGTGTGTGTGTGTGTGTGTGCGTGTGTGTTTGAGATCGATGTTCATGCGGCCTGATCTGTTTGGCCTCTTTGTTTACGGAACCGGGCCCTTCCTGCCCTCTGATGTGCGCGCTCGGGGCCATGAATGGCGCTTTGTCCCGGGACGCACACCCACCCACCCGGTCCTCATGATTTGAATGCTGAGTCCGTCGGATTCAGGAGCGACTGATATAATTTCAGTGTCCAGTGGGAAGATGGCCGACTCCCTTCACGTGACTTCATCCAGACTGGAGAGTCTGCTTTTTTTTTTTTTTTTAAGCAAACTGTTAAGTTGATCCTTTTTTTAAAAAAACTTTAACTTGTCTATTAAAAGTGTAAAAGTTTTAACCAGGGCCAGCCCAAGGCATAAGCAAACTAAGCTGCTGCTCAGCGTACGCTTTGGGTACGTAAAGCTTGACATTTTTGTTTGCCAAAATAACCTGAAACCATTTCAAATGTATGTTATGTTAGTTCTCATCACAGAAACATATGATAACAGTCTCATAATTACAGTGTTGTGCCAACGAGGTTTCGCTCTACTTGCAGTAGGCGCCAGCTGCACCTGAACAATACACACGTTGTGCAGGACAATGCGAAAACTACGTGACAGGCATTGAATAAAATGCAAACAAATAAACGCACGCCGGCAACAACGCAGCCCAACAATGCCTGTATCAAGCAACGCATCAATGCGTATTCGAACAAAACGAACAGGCGACATGATTGAACGTTTCTGTGGCCCCCAGTCATCAATCCAAACTGCTCATATGGCAAATAGGAGCAATTAAAGAAAACATTTTTTTTCAGTTGCTATTAAATCATTTCTGCTGCTTGTGTCTGTGTCGGAGTCGACTAAGACCACAGCCACACTCCACACATTTGAAATCTACTCCTTTATCTAACACACTTTTTCCTTCCACTCAACTTTCTCTCAGCACTCTGAATAACCAGTATTTGTTTTGCTTTTGTTTTGGGGTTTTTTAGCAGTAGAATGTGATAAGACATTATAATATGAGTTGCACTTTTTTAGCTGAATTATTAAAATAAAATAATAATAATAATAATAATAATAATAATAATAATAATAATAATAATAATAATAATAATAATAATAATAATAATTCAATTTTAAATAATAGCTAATAATAATTTTTTTTACCGATATTTTAATTTGTTGAAATGTAACTGTACGTTAAATTTAAATATCTCGTGAGTCTGAATGTTTTCTGGCAGGGAGAAAATTCAAAGAAAAAAAAAAAAAGAACTGTAAACTATCCGACTTTGCTTCACAGTCCTCCCAAGGTCGCAGCTGTCCCGGTGGCACTTTTTCCTTCCACTCAACTTTCCAAAAAGTATCCTCAAACGCCACACTCTGTGGAGAGAAACCCAGGTCAGAACCTTGGACCGGTTCAGGCGTCGACATCATCACCAGAGGAATGAATCCTCAGCCTCCAGCTCTGCATCCACATTTTCTTTTCTTTTCTTTCTTGTGTAGATGTTTCGGGGTGGGCGTGGTTTGTGGCGAGGTTAAGGGAGGTGGGGGGGAAGCTACGTCACTGATGGTTATATAGGCTGCAGCTGTGGCGAAGGGCTCGCGCTGCTGAGACAAGCGGAGCACAGAGGACCGGCAGGCGCGCGCTCACACTCACGCTCTCCCCCAAACAAAGAAGCTGCACGCGAGGCGGCAGAGCATCCCACCCTTTCAGCCCACTTGCAGAAGCCTTCCCCCCCCCACGCCGGAACCTCAGCCCTGCTCATCCGTCCAAGACAAGAACCGGTCCGAACCGAAGGCCCCCCTCCCCCTCCACACACACGCGTCCCCACCCGGCCCCGACCATGACGACCAACGGCTCCGCTAACGGAACCAGCGACATGCTGCAGATCCAGTTCGGCCTCATCAACTGCGGGAACAAATACCTCACCGCGGAGACGTTCGGCTTCAAGATCAACGCGTCGGCCACCAGCATGAAGAAGAAGCAGATCTGGACCCTGGAGCAGAGCGGGGACGACTCCAGCGCCAACGTGTTCTTCCTCAAGTCGCATTTGGGCCGGTACATCGCCGCGGACAAGGACGGCAACGTCACCGGGGACAGCGAGGCCGCCGCTCCGGAGTGCCGCTTCGTCATCACCGCGCACGACGACGGCCGCTGGTCCCTGCAGTCCGAGCAGTACGGCCGGTACCTGGGCGGCACCGAGGACCGCATCATCTGCTTCGCGCAGACCGTGTCCGTGGCGGAGAAATGGAGCGTGCACATCGCCATGCACCCGCAGGTGAACATCTTCAGCGTGACGCGCAAGCGCTACGCGCACCTGAGCGACAAGGTGGACGAGATCGCCATCGACCGGGACGTGCCGTGGGGGGTGGACTCCATGATCACGCTGGTGTTCCGCGAGCAGCGGTACCACCTGCAGACCTCCGACAACCGCTTCCTGCGGAACGACGGGGCGCTGGTGGCCACCACGGACAAGACCACGGGCTACACGCTGGAGTTCCGCTCCGGGAAGGTGGCCTTCAGGGACTGCAGCGGCAAGTACCTGGCGCCCTCCGGGCCCTCCGGCACCATGAAGTCCGGCAAGAGCGCGCGGGTGGGCAAGGACGAGCTGTTTGTGTTGGAGCAGAGCCACCCGCAGGTCGTGCTCACCGCCGGGAACGAGAGGAACGTCTCCACCAGGCAAGGTGGGTGTGGTGGTCCATGCAGGCCCGGACCGGGTCTCCCGGGTCGGTGTGTGAGTGAGGGCGTGAGTGTGTTGGCAGAGGAAGTGTTAACGTGATGGAATGTGAGCCTGCATCCCCATCCTAGCTCCCCAACCCCCCCTGCTCCCATCCTTTGCTGCACATCCTAAATGATCCTTGCAGGACACCCCCCCCCCCCCACACACACACACACACACACACACACACACACACAGTGGCCTGTGTGTATTTACACCCCAAACAATGGTCTGTTTAGAGAACCCGACCTCTCATATGAGTCTTGGTGTGGCAACAAGCACAACAGATGCCAGTTGTGTTATTCATCCATTAAAGACCTTAAAATGTGTTTTGAAATGATCTGATCTGGTTTCACTCTGAAGATGAAGGTGCAGGAACAACATGGCGGACGAACCAGCTGCATCAAGTTGTTGCTGTGCTTCTGATTTTTCTTTTTTTCCCACAAGAATGATAGAACATTACAGATAAAATGTCAGCTGCCTTTGATAAAATTCAGCCGTAGAGCCAAACGTAGGGAGATCTGCCACAGGATTCTCTTGCCGAAAGCTGCTGGGTGATGAAATGGCAGGAGTTCCTGGTTTTCAGCATTTGGGCAGCCACTCATTGAAAGTTTGGCGCATCTCTCGAAAAAAAAAACAAAAAAAAAAAACTTGGCATGCAACTTTTATCCATAGGTTAATGAGCTAATCCAAGACCAGATCAGTTCTGGTCACAATCTACATGTTGAAGGTTGTGTTTTGAGAGCCAACATTGATTGGCAATTCTTAGTCCTTATGCGTTTGACTGACCAGTGATGGGAAAATCGGCTCATTTTGGTCATTTGATAGATTATCTGGTAATCGACAACAGAACCCATGTTTCGTATGGTACGTTTAGCGAGAACAAGGGCGAACACTCGCGCAATCTGGTTGTTTCCTCTGATTTGACGCTTGACTCAAACTTGGTAAACACCAATGTTTAAAGTACACGGAGCTGGTGGATGTATTGGCCTGAAAATGCTGGAGATTCTCAGATTACAGTGTTTGATCTGCGACTCACAGAAAACAACGGACTTGGAAAGTACTTGTAGCACTTAAGGTTAATGATGGATATCATTAATATCCTCAAATTAGACAACAATTGCCTCAACAGCCTGAAACGGACTGATGTTTATGGATCTGTTCTAGTGCAAGAAGAAACTGTTAACACTTAGGATGTTATGGTCCACGGAAAATACGGAAAAAGAAGAAAAAACACGTTTTTTAAATTTATTTAGACCTACTCGGGGCTAATTTGGTGCATCTGGCATCGACACTCCAGATAACTCTGTCAGATCTCCAGATCTTTAAATACTTTGGTTCTGCCTTGCTTTCAGATCAGATGAGGTTTTGTGTCTGGGCTGTTTCAGCTGTTTAACTTGGCTGAGATGCAAAATTGTTCCCCCCCCCCCTCTTGCTTCCTCTTTCCTTGCTTTTCCCCGCCACCCCCCATTTTGACATGCGTACCTCCTTTTTGAACATCTCTTCCATTGTGGCCTCCTCTCCTCCCCCAACTCCTCCCTGCTCCTTCACACCGGATGGTTGTCTCCATTTGGCATTGTCCCCCATCCCTCACGGGGTCGTGCTGATGCCATTTAGAAGCTCTGAAGTTGAATAACCATAACTATTGAGGTGCTCTAATGCATCAAAATCAGTAAAATGTAAGATTAGGGGCCTGAAATGTTCCATAAAGAATCGGTGGAGTAGAAAGGATACAGAGGAATTGCCTGAAAGCAGTTGCTTGTGACTGAATTGCACTGAGTGACAGGAATGTGTGACTGATCTCCAGATCTCAATATGGCGTTCAGTCGGAGGAGCTCACTAGGAATGCCGTGTGGTTTTAGTGGCTTTCCCCATTTTCTTTTTTTTTTTTTTTTCTTCCTTCCCCCTGAAACCGTGATCTGATGCATCACTTTTAATTTCCTGTTGCCAAGTCTCCATCACCCGAGGGAGTGGCTGTCTTTCTTTCTTCTTTGTTTACTTCCCCGGTATATTTATCAGCTTTTGTTTCCACCGGCAGCTACAGATCTTTCTGACATGGTTTGCTTTCTGGAGCACAAAATGGAGGCTGGCTGTCAGAAGAAAGGGTTGTACTCAAAGGTTCCCACTCTTGGATCTTCGGGGCTCTGTGGGTATACGCAGATTCTGTTTCGCAACAAATCTGACTCTGATTGCAGCATGTCAACCAAGACCCCATAATCTAAACCTCTCATCCTCTGACACGGCGTCTCCCTTGGCTACAGGGAGCACTGGTTCCACTTCAAACATCCCACAGCTCCCTGTTCCACTCAACCTAGAAGTTACATTATAGTACAAGGCTGTTGTACTCCCGCATTTCTAATGGTATAAATCGATTTGGTGGATTGAAATTAGCCGTGTAAGCTCATTGGTTAAGGTGGTTTGTTAAAAACAAAGATGGATGCCCTCAGGCGGAAACCTTTGGAGAACACACTTCCTCAAGATGTTTTTTTTTAAATAAAATCTTGTTTGATACAAGGATTGGTACCACTTCTGCCGATACTTTGCATAAAGACAATACTTTTTACAAGGTTGGGGAATCCACTTAACAGTTACTCTTTGATTGATGTTCAAAGTGTCTAAATCATTATTTTGACATATTTTGGCTCATTGTCTTGAGAAAAAGCCTTTTTTATTTTCCAAACATCCCAGGTCTTCCATCGTACTTCACAATGGGAATGAGTTGCTTTTCCAAATTTGTAACGTTGGGACAGAGACGGGTTTTGCATTTGGTAACCATGAAGACTCTGTGCCAGGATGTTCAAAACACGCTACCTACAGTATTTTAATGCTTCATATAAGGAGGAAGCTTCTATTAGCATTGGTGTTTTTAGTCTGTTTAGAACCTTTGACTTAAAAATGTGAATTTTTACTGAGACACTTCGTAGGCTCCTAAGTGCCACAGTTGAAAACCATGAAGAAAAATATTTATACACCCTGTAAAGAGGCTGGTTGCAATAGCGACCTTAAAAAAAAAAAAGGAGAATATGACCGTTGGTGTGTAGTTTGCAGCATATTGAAGGTATATTCTTAAAACTCTGACTCTCCAATAGCAGCCAATGTCATTGCTGTCTTATTGATGTTTGTTTCAGCAACTTTTTAGACAGCTACTGGCTACTTTTGATGTCTGGTTTTAAAAGATTTAGTTGTCTTATGGAGTGAAGAAAAAAATCTCAGCTGTCTGTCGGTCGCCCGAAGCCTTCCCCCTCGCGGGTAATTAACAGTCAACCTGTGTAGATTATTATTATTTTTTTTTCTGTTTTTTGCTTATTGCAGAAGGGGACCAGAGTCCTTACAGAAACTCTGTACTTTCCCCTCTGACAACTGGACGGCTGGGATGAGGATTAAATGCCGAGTGGAATTAAACTGGCTCCAGATGTTCAGCAAACGCGCCGCAGCTCGGAGTCGAACTCTGCAGCGGCTGTTTGGCTGGCAGAGCTGAGCCAAGATGGCGGTCGGACTCCACTGGCTTTCATTAGCGGTGGGAGGTTTTAGACATGAGGCCAGCTCAAGTGGGTCAATCCAAAATCTGTCTCTGTCCAGTCAAGAGTACGGATTTTGCTTTCACTAAGCTTTACATGAGTGGAGACGGAAAATCTTCCCAAAATGTCCTTCCATTAGTTGGTTTAGCTTCCCCCTGCCGGAAATGATCACTATAAGTGGGATTAAAATGTTTATTCCGATATTTACAGCAACTTGATCTGTTCACAGAATTGTCTTGTGCAACTAAATTGTGAAATAGTCCATTTTAATTTAGATCATTTTCCCCTCCTTTTAGCTTGATTACAAAAAGTGATTATCTAATTCTTCCCCCCATATTTAATCAAAACCAGCATAATGGTTCAGATTTGAAGACACCTAATCGATACTTGATAGACTTATAAAGCTAAACAAATTCAGGACCTGTTTTTTTCCCCTTCAAAACATGAGTTGTGTCAAGGATTTGTTTCTGATTAGCAGGCATTTAGTCATTTCACTTGTAGAATAACTTTCTCACAATATGCAAACTTGATACGTACTTAGAAATTTTTTTGGATTTTAATCTCCAGATTCATTCTGGATTACTGAAACGGAGCAACGTTGCTGTACTACTTTCCAGCCTTCCCGTTTTCTGAAGTCTTGATCTCTCTCGCTTTTTGCCAGCCCATAGGAGATTTGCCTTTGCATATCTTAGAAAATGATTCTTTTTAAAATGGCTTTTTACATCAGTGGTTTCTTTAATTTTTACATTTTTATTGCCAACCGGTTAGTATCTCAGGATTGATCAGGCTAATGCTAGCTAGTTTTAGTCCTCCCCCACCCCCAAACATGGCTACGTTGTGTGGAAAAATGTAGCCAATATGACAAGTCTGCTACACACTCAACCCAATTATCACAGTTTTTCAGTCTGATGCTATAAATGTAGCAAGAAAGTTCATGTTCATTTCCCAGATGCATTGGCTGGAGAGTCACAATGTGTCACTGACAGGAACTTATAATTTTCTCCTTTTTTAATTAGACAAATGTTATGCAGGCGTTACAGCAGTCCCATTGTTTATCGTCCAATTTGAGCTCATGGCTTTCAAAGCTGCCAATAAACAGACTCTATGCTGTTGCCCGTTTCCGGTTCATAACATCCACTTTTCTCATCAGCGGTCGCAAATTCCCAGAGAGACAGTTTAACGACCCTCATGTGGTCCGGGCCACAATTATCAGTCAGTTAGCCTGGAGCTTAGAGGCTCTTAAAGCGACTCCGTTCTGCTTCTTACTCTTGCTACCAGAGGCCTAGATGGATGAAAGCCCATCACATCCGGCCGGCTGCTGGTGCGACCACCGACTGTTCTTTTGTAAATATGGGTTATATTTATTTTGATTATGCATTTGGTGTGAATGGGTTACAGTAAAATGCCCCCTGGGGCATTTGGTCTTGTGGCACCAAGTTTTTTTTGT